ATTCTACGGCAAGATCTTCGATAACACCGCCTCGAGCAGCTCTCAAAAGTCCCATAAGCTTCGAGTCGGGCTTTTCTCCTTCCTACACATATAATTAGTACAATATTCCTGACCACAAGTAGAAATTCACTTACAGCGACGTAAACAGCTGTTCCCTTGCCGGAACGTGCGATTCCCTCGCACATGGCCGTGGACACCTCGTTTCCAACACCGAGAACAAAGGTTCGTAGAAGGCCATTTTTCTCTTTGGTGGCTTTGACAGTAGTCGATATTTCATTCAGGATGCCATCCAAATCCCAAGCTTCGCCATCGGTCAGCACAAAGACAGCCGTCGGTGTGGTATCCTTGAAAGCTGTTTTGGCCGAGACGCGACTATTAAAGGCGAATTGAAGGGCTGAACGAAGTTCGGTGCCACCATAGTTGGCTGACATTGTGTCGACATGGCTGCTGGCTTCTTTGACGGATTCAGCAGAGTACATCTGCGAAGTTGGCCACAATGAACTGTAACGACTCCCAAAAGAGACGATATTGAATGTAGTATCTCGAGAGGGTAACGACCGAAGCATAATCTGTAAGCTAGCCTTGACAGAGTTCATTCTTCCGCCTCCCATGCTACCACTGCGATCCACCAAAAAGATATATTCTAGAAACGGGTATCAGCAAGGACAAATATTAGAGGCACCATAATTTTCATACCTTGACTTGGTAAAGGTGGAAGGTCAAACTTGGGAACAAGTGTCAAAGCGTATGCATCCGTCGTTTCTTCTGCACCCTCACTCGCAAGCCATCGCTCGACCGAGCACCTTGGCAAGTCAAGCCCCTGAGCAGAGATGACGACTACGATATCCTTCTCCAGGAACGCGCTATCTCCTAGATATACAAACGCCTTCGACGGTTCAAAGTCGCCTTTGAGTTCCTTCTCAGCACAACCCAATGTCAAGCCAATCGGATGGCTCGGAGAGCTGACAGAGGTGACAGCCTTGTTCATTTGAATCGCGACCGTGAGATCGAAGCGATTATGGTTGTGAGGCTTCCACCACGGAATGTTGGTTGGGGGAGAGCCATAGC